TTGGTGTCTGTGGAGTTGTTTCTCTCACATTGTCTCACTTCTCTCTCTAGCTGCAAAATGTGCAGCTTTTTTTTCCTCTCTTCCCTTTTTTTTTTTTCTTAATTATGTTATCACAGAGGCGTTGATTGGCTTGGCCTTAGCCAGTGCCGGGTCCATCTTGTAGCCAGCTGGCACTGGCTTTCAGACATGGGGGAAGCTTCTGGCAGCTTCTCACAGAAGCCTCCCCTATGTGTTTCATTGCCCCGCCCTGCTACCAAAACCTTCCATGCAAACCAAATACGTACATATATATATATGTATTTGGCTACCCGAATCTAAGATAGAGGGTGATTAATGTGCTGTAGTTGGATTTTTTTTTTTACTATGCTGAGCTGATTTGAGCAAGACATTTCTTCTTAATCAACTGCTTATGTTTGCTTTTTTGTAATCTGAAGGCCTCTGAATGAAGTCTTGACTGATAGGTCATCTTCATTTTCCTCGTGGCTAACTTCTGTCATGAGGAATAATACATCAAGATCTGTTGATTTACCTGCCTTTTCAGCATGGTGTAGTGCTGCAAAACTGTCTTGGGATTCATCTACAAGGACCTTTTAATTTGATCAGAACAGTCCTTTGTCCTATGGCTGGATCCCTAGTTTTTGAGGAGGAAGCAAAGTGATGAAAGAGGTATAAATAGAAAGGGAAATAATGAAAACAGGTTTGTTTATTCCCAATTTAAAATACACTACAAATGCAAAGTACTCTGATGCTGGTAAAAAATAATAAACTTTTTTTTGAGGATTTCAGACTCATATTGAACAGATCCTTGGCTTACTTCACTGGTTGACGCGTGTAGTCTGATAAGCAGATCATAGGTTTTCCAAGCTTGATGTCTTAATTGTTTTTTAATTGGTATAATTGGTACTAAATTTAAATGCATCTCTTTCAGAAGTTTTTGCATATGGTTTTCATTTATGGTTTTTTTATATGTAAGAGTTCATCTGAGTATTTTGTTGGCTTCCTCTAAGTTCAGATGAATTGGAGAAGGGCATGTTTCCTTGAGTTTGCCCTAACCACATTCTGTTTGTATAGATATTCTGTTTGTATAGATATTCTGTTTGTATAGATATTCTGTTTGTATAGATATTCTGTTTGTATAGGTTGCCCAAGGAAGTTGTGGATGCCTCCTCCCTGGAAGTGTTCAAGGCCAGGCTGGATGAGGCTTTCAGCAACCTGGTCTAGTGGAAGGTGTCCCTGCTCATGGCAGGGGGGTTGGAACTAGATGATCTTTAAGGTCCCTTCCAACCCAAACCATTCTATGATTCTATGATATTCAAAGCTCTACCTTGAGTGATTTCTTTTTTATACTGAAATAGTAATAAAATAGGAATAGTTACTCTCCACAATTACTGCTGTCATCTTTAGAAATAGGTCCCATATTACCTATTTTATAGTTGTCCCTAATTTTAATATACTACATATTTTGTGTTAGCATTTCTGCTACTTAATATTTAACTTTCTGCAGGTTTTCCAGTTCCTAATATCATCTGATTATTGATAACTGATAGGCATTTACATCAGCCATGATTCACCCTGTTTTTAATGCTGTCATGTTTTGCAAGTAATGAATATGAGCAAATGCGAAAGTGCAGATTGCCATTATCATTGCTTTTTCATTAAATCCAGTGACCAGTGTACTCAGGACTTGTATTTTGGGAGTTTTTAATGTTATTAAATATGATGTTCTCACTTTATTTTGGTTGTAGCTAAACAAACCTTTTAGATCAGGCTGTTAGGTCTCAAATTAGAAACCAGGATAAGAAGGGCTAGGGAAACAACAGATGGATAGTTACAGCCTCCAAAAAAACTTGACTTAGGTGACTTATTGCATATAAAAATAGACACAGACAAAGGTGGAATTCAGTTCTTCAGAGTATGATGTTAACTGTTACCTTAATAATTTATTGCCTGTATTCCAGCTGCTGCAGCAGATGAAGTAGGACAGTTGCAAAAACCTGCAGACCATGAAACTGCTGGTCCCCAGAGTGAGACATCCTTAATGCTGAGTCAGGAATGTAGAAAGTATTTCCTTTGGAAAATGTACTGCATGGTCATAGAACTAATGACTGTACCATACATACAACAGGTCAAGAATTCCACAGAGCATTTATTTTTTTTTATACATGACTATATAGCTATAAATCTTTATTTAGGATAGTTGTGCCTGAAATTTGTAAATGGGGGGTGGGGGGGAATAATCTGGGACAGGGACGATGGCATCTGGTAGCATTTGGATGCTTATATGGTTAACACCAGGCTTGGGAATTTTTTAAAGCTACTGCATGAACTTCTGCCCTTGAGTTAATGAGAAACTTGTACTAGTAGGTTATCTGTTTCTGTAAGGACCAACACTTCAGGGGAAGGAAATGTATACTTTGCTTTCAGAGATATTGGTGGTGGAAAAGGAGTGCTGAGGGACAGAAATCTTGGGTTTCACTGCAGGCTATGAAGAGGAGCCTGTGGTAGTGGTCACTTGTACTTCTGCCTGTTTTGTGTTCTACCCTCAGCTTGACTGTGCCTTCAGTATTCCTTTTAGCCTCCTGCCCTTAAATCCTTGTCAGTTTTCATTCTATTTTCTTTCCATTCTCACTGTAAAAGCAAGTTTATATAGCTTTTTAGAAAGGGCTATGCAGTGTTGCCATTTCACAGAGCTTATTGCATAAACAATATTTGCTGTGGCACTGTTGAAAAGCATAGATATAACGTTAGGTTATGTGATGGCACACAGTGTTGGTGCTTTTCTTTCCTTGATCTGATTTGTGCATGAAGTTGCTTCATCAGCTTAATCAGTTCTTAGACTGAAGAGTGTTTGAAATTTGTAAAAAGTTTCAGCTGGAAATTCAGTAGTTTGACAGCAGCTACATGGATAGACTGCCTTTCTAAAGTTATTCTAATTACATAGGTAGAAAAAAATGTTGTTTCAGCAGTATCATTGTAGCAGAATTACAAGGAAAGTAACTGCACTTATGTAAATGGCTGTGCAAATACAATAATACCCTAGATGACTTGCACCATTCTTGTTATATGTAATGCAGTGAGCTTGTATTTTAAGTATTAGGTGTTAAGAAATAGCTTCATGTAAATGGCAGGTATTTTAAAGAGGTGTTGTCTAGTGAAATTAAAACATGCTACCTTTGGAAGCAGAAAGTGCCCTGGCTTGATGTTTAATTAGCATGGAACAAATTACTGTGTAGTTTTGAGAAGAGACTGAAAGAAAGTACCAGTCTCCCTGGAAGCATCAGAAAGCCTTGATTTGTAGACAATACTGTATTGTCAATGCAGAGCTGGTTCAGCAGCATCTCTGCACACATTTGGCAAATATTTAGAGGCCACATTTTGTGTAATTGGTTCAACCTTTGAAAATTTTTAACTTTTTGTTAAAGGAAGTACACAGCAATAAGATTTTATCTTGGCAATCTCATGCTTTTGTCTTCTACCAGCAAGGATGTATTTGTGGATTTTTATCTTTTTTTTTAATTTTTGGTTTTTTAGCTCCTGAAAGGGGGATATACTTACTGCTTTGTAATCACTTTGGTACTGGAGGTATGGGAAAGCATTTAATTTCCATGGCTTTATAAAGCTGGATTATACAGGAGCTGTGGCAGACAATGATATTTTGTTAGCCAGGGGAATAAATGGAACTTTTCATATCAAGTTATTTGAAAGTGTGTGTTTATGTTTAGCATTAGTCTTTTTATATGTTGTGAAATCTGAGCAGGGTAGTACATGCTTTCTGGACTATCCAACTAATTTGCAAATAAGGCTGTGCAAAACACAATAAATGTTATTGACAGCCATTCACTCTATTATAATTTGGTAATCTTTTTGCTAATTAGCTTCCTTTTTTTGTTAGCATATCATGGTTATTTACATTAATGGAAAAGTTAAATAGGCATTGTTAATACCCAATTGCAACCAAGGATGTATGACTTATAACTGGTAAATTCTTTAAAGCATTTATAAACAAAATTTGGAGTCTTTATCTGGCTTCTCTAGTCTTCTCTACAGGAACTTCTCTAGTTCCTGTAGAAACTCTTCTAGTTTCTACAGGAAATGTATGCTGTATGTGTCCTTCAGCTGAGGAGATTAGATCCCTACTTGTGCTTTGTAAAACTGTCCACTAACTCAACTAGAAAGTATCACTAATCAGTTCATAAGGAAGAAAACTGTATTTAAGTGTGGAATCCAAATATAAAAGTATTTCTTAAGAAGGCAAAGCAAAAATTTCTAGAAAACTCCTCACCACCATGTAACACAACTCTGTATTTTTGAGGTGATGATTAATGAGATTTAAAAGCATGTTTATTAAATTACTAATTCTGTGTAATAATTACTCTGATATTTTAAGTTATGAAAAAAGTTATATATTAAATGATTAATGCTTTTACCTCTTTTTTTCTCTGTTCTAGGCTTAACAGTAGCATAAGTGATTGGATTACAACTCTGACACATTGCAGCAAAAGTGATGTTAAAACAATTTGAATGTATTGGAGCATGGCTACTTCTTGAAATTCAAAAGTTCAAGGAAATTATTGTTTATCAAAACCTACTGAATATCAGTATTTTCTGGACATCCTGCATTTAACTGTGTCCTTAAATGTCCATGATTAAGATCTCATGCAACTATTGTATATTTTGGAGACTATTCTCCAAAAGAGAACTGTGCATTTAAAAAGTAGAAATGACTGTGTTTTTTCTTGGAACTTACTAAGGTTGAACATACTGAAAGATCATGACCAGCTTGAAGCGGTCCCAGACTGAAAGGGCTGTTGCCACTGGGGTATCAGTCGGAACAGATGGCACCTCAAAAGTCCACTCGGATGACTTTTATATGAGGCGCTTTAGGTCACAGAATGGCAGCTTGGGATCTGCAGTCATGGCGCCAGTTGGACCTCCTCGCAATGAAACTTCCCATCATGTTACCTCTACTCCTGGAGTCCCTAAAATGGGGGTCAGGGCAAGGATTGCTGATTGGCCCCCAAGGAAGGAGAACATCAAGGAAACAAGCAGATCTAGTCAAGATATTGAAACTTCAAGTTGCCTTGAAAGCATGTCTTCCAAAAGCAGTCCTGGGAGTCAGGGAAGCTCTGTTAACCTGAATGCTAGTGATTCTGTCATGTTAAAGAGCATCCAGAGCACACTTAAAAACAAGACCAGACAATCTGAGAATCTAGACTCCAGGTTTCTTACACCTGATGGCTATCCCAGTTCCCCAAGGAAAGCTCTTCGCAGAATAAGACAGCGCAGCAACAGTGACATTACCATAAGTGAGCTTGATGTGGATAGTTTTGATGAATGTATTTCACCCACTTTTAAATCTGGGCCATCTCTGCACAGGGAGTATGGCAGCACATCTTCCATAGATAAGCAGGGAACTTCAGGGGAAAGTTTTTTCGACTTATTGAAGGGCTATAAAGATGAAAAGTCTGATCAGAGAAGCCCAGCCACAACTAAGCTTAGTGAACTCCTGATTGCCAGTGGAAGCAAGGGTTCAGGATTCTCTCTAGATGTGATAGATGGACCTATTACTCAAAGGGAAAACCTGAGACTCTTTAAAGAAAGGGAGAAGCCACTCAAGAGACGCTCAAAATCGGAGACAGGAGATTCGTCTATTTTTCGTAAGCTGCGCAATGCCAGAGGTGAAGGGGAGCTTGGGAAGTCTTCAGATCTTGAAGATAACAGGTCAGAAGATAGTGTCAAGCCTTGGACTTGTCCAAAGTGTTTTGCTCATTATGATGTACAGAGTATTTTATTTGATTTAAATGAAGCAGCAATCAACAGGCATAATGTTATTAAAAGAAGGAACACAACCACAGGTGCATCTGCTGCTGCTGTAGCATCACTTGTCTCTGGACCCTTGTCCCATTCTGCAAGTTTCAACTCTCCAATGGGCAGCACTGAAGACCTGAATTCAAAAGGAAGTCTCAATATGGATCAGGGGGATGATAAAAGCAATGAACTTGTGATGAGTTGTCCTTATTTTCGTAATGAGATTGGTGGGGAAGGGGAGAGGAAGATCAGCCTTTCCAAATCTAATTCAGGTTCCTTCAGTGGATTTGAAAGTGCCTCGTTTGAGTCGACTCTGAGTTCTCATTGCACGAATGCCGGAGTAGCAGTTCTGGAAGTTCCCAAGGAGAATCTGATTTTACATTTAGACAGAGTAAAAAGATACATCGTTGAACACGTAGACCTTGGTGCATATTATTATCGAAAATTCTTCTATCAGAAAGGTAGGTAAATTTTGTTTCTCCTTCTGTTTTATTAACGATTTTTTGCTTTACCAACATACAGAATTCAGCTGATGTATAATAGCATTTGCAAGAATTCTGTAATTTTTTAATCATCAGTGCTTAAATGTGGTGTATTTTACCAATTAGTACATGCTGTGTCTAGTAGTCTTTCACAATGTTGGAGTAAAAAAATGTTGATGATTTTAGTACTGATATACATAACATGATAGCAATGGCTGCAAATTTTAAATATCTTGTAACACAGCTTTGGTATCCATGGGAGTGGGCATGGGCTGGCACTTGAAAGATTAAAAAAGAAAATAAAATCCTAAAATATGAGAACTTTCTTTCCTCCATGTCAAGAATTAATGTACTGAAGATTTAGTGCAGCTTGGAAAGCTAGCATTTACAATAGTCTTTGGACGTTTTAATATCTTAATCATCCATTTCAAAACATAGAGGTTTTTAAAATTAATTTAAAGTCAATAATATCATATAAATAAAGATAAAAATCTGTCTTCCTTACTATTTTCATTATAACCATCATTCTAGAAAGAAAATTTTAATTTGTCAGATTTTGTAGAAAGAAACTATCACTCTGTATAATATATAATTACATATATGCACACACATGTATGTTGCAATGACAGCATCTCTGAAAGAAGAGTACAGTTCTTACCACATGGTTCTACTGAAACCAAGGATTATAATTTCCACTGGATTTACACATGGGAAAAAATGGATCAAAACTTTTTGACCTATGGAAACAAGCAAAACCCAAACATTACCCAGATACCTCCCTCGCCAAAATGATGCTGGCACCACAAGATGCAGATCTTGCTGTCTGTTCTTCCTGATTGTGAAAATTATCAAAAAGGAATGCAGACCAAAGTCCTTTAAAGTTTAAAAAAGTTCTATTTGCAGGATTGTGTGCCTTGCTATGGTATCTCCTGATGGATAGAATTGGTCTAGTGGTTGACCTGAAGAGTGCTTGTTCCTTAGCTACCAGTGATCAGGACTGGGTTTCATCTCTTTAGTGAAAGGAGCTCAAAAGAGCTTGTTTCCTACTGATAAAAGCAACAGGGATACCTGGTTAAAATAAGTGGATGGTCAGTTCAGAAAAACTTTAACTTGGTAACTGTATGTTACAGCTAATACCCTCACCTCTCATTTTTCCCTTGCCTCAAAATATGTCCATCTCTCACCTTTTCTTCCCTGTATTTTCCCTTGTTTGGGTGGCTCTTGTCATGCTTTCCATAGTCTCATCTTTCTTCAGTCTTTCAAGGGCTGAGAGGTAACCTTTACTGCATGGGTTTTGAGAGTGCTGATCCCACATCCTTTCAAGAGAAAGGAGTGAGGAAAAATACTGATTTCCTGAGAACAGTAAGCCAGATGTGCAATATAAGATGAGGAATGTTTGGAGGGGAGAGCCTAAGATTATAGAAGCCCTCGCCTGTGATTACCTTCCTATCTGTCTCCCTACAGAACAATTTGATTCCTTATCACTCTGGTGAGTTTTGCAATCAGCAACTGAAGGTGCAGCTTCATGTTACAGCTGACCTGATTTAACAGCATTTCAGCACTAAAAAGGGAAGACTTTATTCCTCCCCCTTCCTTGTACCAGTTATCTTGTTTTCTGAAAACTTGATAAGCTAGTTCAGTTTACTAAGCAAGCAGAAATCTTGCCATCACAATAAATTTGCTTTTTATTGCTTGGTTTTTTCTCTCCAGTCAAATCAACTTTCCTTGCAGTCAGAGAAGTGTCAAAGCCTAGTGCCAGGTAAGCAATGAGAGGGAACAGCAGGAGAGGAAGGAGGTGTCAATGGGATTTCAGCCATTAGACAACAGCAATTTATTAGTTTGGCTTATCCTTAAGGGAAACCACACCCTCATGCTGGTATGATGCCAGTCACCATTATATCTCCATTTCTTTCTAGTTGTAATTAAGACAAATTAGATAAAATCGGTGTAACATAGTCCTCAGGGTATCGGTGAGGGGTAACTAGGTATAAAAGTATCGGTATTGTGTATGGAGTGGGTTTGGAGGGAGAAAAAAAGCTGTGATTTTTTTTTTTTTTCCTTAAACCCTAAAACTGGATTTTAAATTCACTCTGCTCATGTTCAGTCCAGCAGGCTTGAGCCAGAGATGTTATTCCTGCCAGAGATTTTTATCTGAAAATAGGTGTACTTCAGAAGCCTCATCAGATGTGCCCAAATGACACAGTTCTACAAGTACCAAATGCATTTTGTTGACTACACAGCGCATCTTCTTTCCCCAAGCAAACGTTAGACTAATTTGAAAGAGATGGGCTAGCAATAAAACTTAAAGCAACATAATAGGTAAAAAAAGTCAAGGAAGTCAGTTGTAACTGAAAGTTTTTATAACATGAAGAAAGTAATGATGCAGAAGCTTTCTTGTTTGAAGAGGAGGTTGGATGTTATGAATGGAATAGACAGTGACAAAAGACAGTTTCAGTGGGATCAGCTAGTCCAAGTCAGCAGGCCTTGTGTAATTTTATGGTCTTAAAGTTGTGAAACAAAGAATTCTGATTCAGAAACAATAACTTTTAAAGATGTTAAGCCAGGAAAATTTCGCAGAATTTGACAACTACTGAAGTAAACCTAGAGCTTGTAAAGAATAAAAAGCAATGACCCAGAGAATTGTAATCCTTTATAGTTTGTTTTCATTCCAACTTGAAATAACAAAGCAGGTAATTTGGGACTATATCAACAAAGAACCAACAGTTAAAAAACACTAATGATGCCAATCAGCAAGATTTAATGAAAAGTAGATCTTACCACAAAAACCCCCAAACTGTTCATCTTTTGTGTCTTGGAAAAAAAGAAAAATAATGAAAGCCATTGCATTGATGTAGTCCATTTTCATTTCTCCCAGGTAATTTTGTGAGATTCTGATGGTGACTTAAGTCTTTAATTATGTGGAAGTAATAGTCATTCTTTACAGGTATTGTTACTTGGATGATAGATGCATCTCAAATTTTTGCAATATGAAGGAGGTATCAGTGAGCTGGAGTATTACTAACAAGGTCCCAATTAATTAAAATATCTTAGTCTAGTCAGTGTGAGATATTTGCTTGTGACATTTATGGATGAGTCTTGTATAAGTTCATTGATGAATGCAAATGGATGAGTGTATGTAAAGGAAATACTAAAGTGAAATCAACATATTATTTGACCTTTTACAGAGCAGTGGTAAAATTATTGATAAATAATATCCTGACTTGGTGTTCAGACATCTAAATATGAAAATACTGATGGAGACAGTTTAGTGGAGGTTAGAAAAATGGTACAGATATTGGGAAAAGAACTTTGTAATGGTAGTTCCCAAGGTTGGATTCAACTTCTCTGCTTTATACCTGAGCTAATTGTGCAGACTCCCTTTGTACTCAGCGGAGAGAAAAGAACCTTGCAGGATGATACAAATTGCAGTCTTACTTCCCTCAGTTCACTACAGAAGACTCATACACAATTAACTCACATGGAGATGTTTATACTTACAGGAGATAAATGCTAATCCTATACTACAAAAGATGTATTTGCAAGGTGACTATTTAAAGGTGTATTTCAAAAGGTGTATTTCATAGGGGGACTTGTAATTAGAAGTCTTAAGTCTAGACATTTATAAGCACTGAGATATGTGGTTATGCTAGTGCTAAAGAAAGGGGGGGTAGGGGGGGAAGCCAAAACCAGCACAAACAAAATTGTGAAAGTTGCATAAATTTGACCCTGAAATAAGATTAAGTTTTGGAAAAAAAAAAAAAGGGTAACTATACATGGGGGGAAAAAAATATTAAAGGAAGTTATTCATTGTTTGAATTTTACATGGCAGTCAGGGCTTTTGGTGTGACATTTTCCCTTCTTCTCTTAAATTCAATGCCTGAAAAGACAATTTCTGAGCTATTTGAGTTGAGATAACAGGATCTCTTTTGGCATCTCTGTTTTTTAATCTGATAGAGTCCTTTCTTTTAAAATGCCTCTTTATTGGAGGGGTTTACAGTTCATATAGATGTAGTAACTGAACAGAAGCCGGCTTCAGTTCAGTTTTCTCACTTATGCCATAATGTATATGTGCTTTCAGCTCTTGCTGCTTGGTTGTGTCCAGGTGCAACTTTGTGGTTTGGTCTCTATTGAAATCGGTAACAGGAATACTGTCTGAAATACACAAATGACATCACTAATAACAAAAATGTTTCCAAGTGTGATGGTACTCGGCAAAAGTAAAATAAATAAATAAGTGATTATTGAAATAAAAGATTTTTCTCTCTAAACATGGTGCTTTTAGAATTAATCAGAAGGAAAACATGTTGGACTTGTTTGGGTTTTTTTTTTTCTTTTCTACATGGTGGCACCAAATATAAGGGCAGGGGGAGGAAAGACAAGATTTCAAGAAGCCACCTGCCAGTTGTTTTGGGGATACTTTCTGGACTGTTTTTTCCTTGTAGAGCATTCTAACATTTTTGTTTGCTCTGTGATTGAGTATGAAACCTTGCAACTAATCTTCTAAGAAAATACATGTTAAGACAGCCGATACATTTCAGTTTTGATTAAAAAGTATATTTTTTGACAGAAAGAAGGAACAAGTTGTTCAGGCCTTCTTACTGAAGTGTAAGAAAAGATGTCTTTTTGTGTGAGAAAGTGAGATTCTTAGTTAAATACATAACTATTGACTGCAGTGCTTCAGTTTATTTAAACAAAAAAAAGGGGGGGGGGAGAAGCAAAACCCTTGAAAGTTTTAGAGCACAAGGCTTATTAGGAACCGCTCAGAGAACTGGGGTTGTTTAGCCTGGAGAAAAGGAGGCTCAGGGGGAGACCTTACTGCTCTCTACAACTACCTGAAAGGAGGGTGTAGAGCAGTAACAAGTGATAGGACAAGAGGAAATGGCCTCAAGTTGTGCCAAGGGAAGTTTAGATTGGATATTAGGAAGAATTTCTTTACTGAAAGGGTTCTCAAGCATTGTAATGGGTTGCCCAGGGCAGTAGTGGTGGAGTCCCCATTCCCTGGAGGTATTTAAGACTCATCTAGTCTTAATCATCTAGACTCATCTAGTGCTTAGGGACATGGCTAGACTGGTTACAAGATATACTGATTTTATCATCTGTGCATTTGTCAGTACAGAAAACTAATGTAATTTTTGGACCATTCTAGTATGTATTACCAACATGCCTTTTTTCTTTAAAATTTTCTATTGTGTAAGCAAAGGTACCTCAGTGCTTTTAAGTCAATAAGCAGTTTAGTGTGCAGATGTCCAAGCTATCTCAGGTTTTGGAAGCTGCATAATATGCTGATAGAAAGTTGATCTAATATTCTCAGTGACTGTTCTTCTGCATTGGCCATCTCTGCCATAACTGTTTGAGCTATAAACATCCTGAAAAAAGCAAGTTACTTAATGGAGGAAGAAGAAAAGCTAGGCTGCTAATAGGATAATTTGGGTTTTAAAACAAGAGATCTCTGTGGCATTTACAAGGCTCATATCAGTGGAGTAGCATAAAGATTTAATTAGGCTTATGTGGATGGTCTAATTTATTCATAATTTCCCCACTTGTTGGAATCAGTCACTCAAAACTTATGCCAATATTTACAGGATATTCCACAAGATATTAAAAGAATTTTGAATCTTAATTACCTCTGTGCAGAGTATTGGTTTTTGATGACTTGCAGAGGAATTTGGTAGAAAGCAAGCTTTATAATGCTGCGAGCATATCTCTTTTATGTCTTGTATACTCTGAAATCTTAAATGGAAAACACTAAGGAAAGGATAATAAAATACCAGATACTGGAGAATAAGAATAGGGCCCCCAAGGGCTTAAAGGGGTAGATGGCAGTGTGAAGACAATGGTGTAATTCTAGGGTATGATTAAGTTCATAAGGAGAGAACATCTACTTGAAAAGCATTTAGTGTGTTGGAGGAAAGCATAGCAAGATCCAGTAAGTATAATTTTTAAAAGAAATAGAATAAAAAAGGAGGTAGTCAAGTTTTTAACACTGCAAGTGCTTATTCATTGGAAAAATGACTGCCATTCACTTTGGATGGGAGTGTATTTCAGTATCTATTTTTAGTATCTTTTGAGATGCAGTTCTTGATGATGATGATATTAAAATATTTTTTGTTTTCTTTCTATAGCAGAATAGCTCATATTAGACTGCTCTTAAAATTCTTGTATTGAAGTTCTGGTTGTTTTAAGAATAACAATCTATATGTAGTAGTTCAGGCAGTATGGTTAGATTTCCTTTCAGGACAGTATCATCTTTTTTTCATTCCACTGAAGTTCACGTTTCTTCTTTGAATTGTTGAATTTTCAGATAGCTCTAACTTTCTATTTTTGTGCATGTATAAATTCATTCAGATATGCAGCATATGGAAATCACTACATAGAACTTATTTATCTTGTCCAATATTTGACTTCTATTTTTCTACAGTTCCTCTCAAATTTTCCTTTCAGGTACTGTGTGTTTAAATTCAGCTTTTATCAATTGAGATATGTGCAACTTTGTTTATATGCTGCGGCATTCATGGTGATGTACTTCTGTCATCAGTCAAGATAGTTCATAATGCTCAGAAGGCTAAATAGAAGAGCCTTTGATTCAAATTTCTTAAATTGTTGAGCTTTAATTTCTATATATGCAATTTCCTAATATTTCTTCATCTAAAGCTTGGCTTTACATGTGTATAGTTAAACAAATATAAAAATGTATCTCAAATAATCTACTTTCCAGCTAGTGAGTGATTTCTCCAGCTCTGTATTCTTCTCTCTGCTGCTTTTCCAACTGGGCTAGTTTTAGACTCAGCTCTTAGCACTCTGAATTTACTCTTTGGGTTGTCTGACATTTCACTGTTCAATATTTTTGCTAGTCACTTAATTTCTTGCACTTTATTCTATTTTTCTATTTTTCTATGATACTATGCTTTGATTTTTTTACTATGAACAAGTCTTTAACTTCATCAGTTTTTCTTTTTTTATAATTTAGTAACTTGTTTGACTGGTTTTTACTTTTTCGATTAAAAAAATAATTAAGTTATATTCTGTGCTAAGTACAATTCTTTGCCCCTCCCATTCAAACATAAAGTGGTAAGTTTCTCACTTCAATGCATTTGGCTTCCTTGTTTTTATTTTTAAGGGGAGGAAATTGGTTGTACTTAGCTCAGTGGGAGTGAAGCTGATTTTGATGTATAAGAGGTGTATCCTGTGTTAGGCCTGGTTAGGCCTGTTTCAGCAGAGCTACAAAGTTGAATTTCAACCTTCCTGTATAAACGGAGCTCATAAGAGAACTGAAGCATGAAAATAAAATCCTAGTACTACTGAAGACATGCGCTTGTTGACTCTAGTGAAGCTCGCAATTTATTTCCAATATAACAAATAAGCATGAAAATAAAGTTGAAGTGTAAAAAGCAAGATGAACTTTTATTTGTGTTCTTTTTTTTTTTTTTCTTTTCTTGTATGCAAGAACACTGGAACTACTTTGGGGCAGATGAGAACCTGGGTCCAGTAGCTGTGAGTATAAGAAGAGAAAAGCCAGAGGAAATAAAAGAAAATGGACCTCAATACAACTACCGGATCATATTCAGAACCAGTGAGGTAAGCAGTTCAGGAATGATAGTAAAAGAAGCTAGAAGTGTGCAGGCACAATCAGGTGGTATGCCTGGAGTTTTACGCTTTTCAGCATTGATAAAAGATTTCTGTCTCCTCTACATACATATAATCCAGGAATGTCCTGACAAAGTTATGCCACATGTTTATATTACACAGAATACAAGTAAATATCAGTGTGAGTTATTCCATAACCAATACAGAGGAAAATGTTTTGGTAAAGCTTGAGAAACTTACAGGAGTTATATCAGCTAGAAGCAAGCAAAGAGGAGGAAAAGAACTTCCTCCACTTTTAAATCTTGACAGTGAGTAGACCTGAGAAGCATGGTTTTATACTTTGGAATGCTCTGCTAGAAATACTACTACTAATCTTTTCCAAGTAGTAGTTTCCTGCTGGAAATACTACTGGTAATCTTTTCCAAGTAGTATAATTCAACTTATGTCTGTTGAATTATTTGAAATATTCTAACTGCTGTTAGCTATCAGACCAACATTTTACATATCAAGTGTCTGTTTCCTGCAACATAAGTTACTTAATGTTCTCAGTCTGTATTAAGAATTGGAAAAATAGTACATTTTGCTCCACTGCTATTGTTTGTCAACCTTTTCTCAATGCATAGTTCAATATATAAGCTAATTTTGTTTTGTATGCTAAGCTTATGACATTAAGAGGCTCTGTGCTGGAAGATGCTATCCCTTCAACTGCAAAGCATTGCACAGCCAGGGGACTCCCCCTAAAAGAAGTGCTGGAGTATGTGGTTCCTGAGCTAAATATCCATTGCCTAAGGCTGGCCTTCAACACCCCAAAAGTCACAGAACAGCTCATGAAGCTGGATGAACAAGGGGTAAGTGCAGAGTTAAAGAATGAGACAAATTGTCAGTGTCAGATTACTGCCATGAACTGCAAAATTACTGTTTAGCTTTATGTTATTAGAGTCAGTCTATTAAAATGCCTCGTAAAGCTTCTCATCTGTAGGGAGAGTTATGTTGCATGTGTTTCCCCCAGATTTTGCAAAATATTTGGTATGTATGAAATAAAGTTCATTGTTTTAAGTAGTCTAGGGTTTTAGATTAATGTTATGGCAATTGTCCATTTTAATTTACTTTAAAAGAGACTAAGTGATTGTTTTTCAAAGACTTTGAGGAGGAGGGAGTTCTGTTCTGGTTTTCTTATTGCTATTATAATGACAATATTACTAAATATATATTACTAAATTTTTTTTGTAATATTGTATTGTCACAACTATTAACAGGGTGCTGCCTCTCTTTTGTTTTTTTCTACTGTTGCAAAATGTTCTAAGCCATTTCTTCATACAAGTGGTTTTCAATACATGATAGTCCCCTGGTCTTTTAAAGGTGGAACTGAGGCTTGTTAGCTGTGTAGCTTAGACTTAGCAAAATGAAAGTCCATGAGTATGGTGAATTTTATGATTAAAAATTTCGACAGTGACATTTAACAACTCTGAGTACTGAGACTCTCTTTTTCTCCTTTGTGTTTCTCATGATCAACTGTTCCTGCACAGAATTAACATCTATGTTATTATTTCTTCTTGCTGTCAGTCTAACATTGCCATCATAAAATTGAAAAAGGTCTAATCATTATCTGCCCCACAAGGGAGAGAATATCGCTATTGCAAACAGGTTTATAAGTGACTAATGAAGATTTTGTCAGCCTCCTTGTGGTTTGGTTATTGAAATGGACAAGATAAAGAATCCCCAAATAAATACCCACTAGGAGCAAAACTTTAGCAAAATACTTTGTCCTCTAGTTAGTTTCAGAACCTCATCTATTTTGCTAAGAATGCAATACAAGAGGATGAAGAAAAATGGGTAGCTGTGGCTATCGTAGAGCATCCAGACTAACACAGGAGTGGTTATATGTGGTCAGCCCAAGGTAGATGCAGCCCATTTTTGTCACTGACCATGACCAACAGTGGGCATTTGGCTAAGAATATGAGAACCAGACGAGCATGGAATGATAGTTTGCTAGCTTGTATGCTTTTATAGGGCTCTCTCTCCTACCCCTCTGCTTTACCAGTTTGATGACTCATAGTTTAGTTAGTTGTTTCTCATATCGAAGTTGTTCTGTACTTCTGACTATGCTTTTGCCTCTCTCTGGAGTTTTTCCAGCTGCCTTCATTCTCTCCCACATCTATTTTAAATACAGTGCAGTTTTGAAAATGGGTTTAGTATGCTTTCTTATCTCTTCCTTTTTTTTAATAATTACTGATATTTTATTTTCTTTATGGCTGCTACTGAACACTGAAAGTATCTTTTCATGAATGCCTAAGATCCTGTTCCTTAGGGGAGTATAAGTCAGAGCTCATTACTGTAGATACAAAGTTGGGTATCTTTGTACCACATGGATCACATCAAGCTTTACTTGCACTGAGGTTCATCTGCCATTCTTTTGCCCAGTTATTCACTATCATAAGTTCCTTTGGTAGCTCTCATAGCCAGTCTTCAAGTCCAGTACTCTAGAGTAATAATTACATTCAGTAATATTAGCAAACTTAGTCCCCTTACTGTTTATCCCCTCTATCAGATTGCTAAAGTGTGTGTTGAATACTGTATGTCCAAGTTCAGGTCCCTGCCTTACTCTACTGATCAATTTCTTCAACTCCTTTTTGTCCTTTAGCCAGTTACACATCTGAGTTCCTTTTTCCGTACCCTGGCTATTTAGTGGTTTTAAGACATTTTGAAGAAAAAGCTGTGTTAAATGTCTCTTGGAAATTCAAGTATACTCTGTAGTAGTATTTCCTGCATGTGCTTATTGGCTCCTGGAAAGAACAACACTGCAATGAGCCAACGAACCCATAAGGTTGAGGAGAGATGGATATACTATATAGCCTTAGCAGGCTTTTAGCAAAGAAGGATGGAATCTTTAGATGCTTACACTGCTTAATATAACTATTCTCTTTCATATGATGAGATCCTAATAAGCTGGAGGCCTGAGTGTTTTCCTTAATGATTAGAGCAGTGATTACAAATATGCATATATTCAGTCTTTGATTCGTTATCTGAGTCTAAACCTAATCTGCCTTTCATCCAGAATCAAGCTTGTGAGACACTTGAAGGCTAAAGGATATCTTTTAGTCTTTTTCCAAAGTTTTCTGTTCCAGCAGTGGAGAAAATGTAATTACTTCAACATAGGTCCATAAGCAAACCTTTGGATTCAAGGATCAGTACCTTCCAGATATGCCCATCAAGAAACTGCAGTCTCAATAGTGTTGATGAGAAAATTTTCACAAAGAAATAAAAAGTCTGGCAGAAATTTCTAGTTAAAAAAATAAATTCAAAAATTACTTCTAGTAAATACCTAATTTGAAAAGTAATTTAGCATCATTTGCTTCGGGAGTTTGTTATATCTAAAAAGGTGTGAGATTAAATTATCCTTATTTCATATCCTCCGTGTCATTAAGCTCCCACAATATGGTGTATAGTATGGTTTTCTGTTACTACTTAAACTTTTGAAAATCATGAAGGACAAATGATAGTTAAAATTGTATTATCTACATCAAAGTATTTTCTGGTTTTGTGGTAAAGAAATGGTTTGACACTTCTAACAGAAAAAGATAAACACACTCTGTACTAATTAGAAGCTTCCTTTTTTATCAATTCTAAGCCAACAGGAAAATACTGGTAACAGCTGCTCTACTCATTCGTCATACAGAATGTTTCTCACTTCTTGCTGAGTGTTGCAGTGTTTCATTACAGCATGAACAGGTGCCTCTTTGATATAGCAAATAAGATGTTTTGCAAATTTGAGAGTTAAAATTATAAAGTGACTTTAGCCTGACTTAGCCATTAAATTTCACCCAGTAACCCTTTCATTGAGCTGAATTTTCATGCACCAGTTTTGATTAAGATAGGCTATCTTTTTTTACATTTTAAAGTGACATTTTAAAGCAGTTGGTTGGTTTCATATTTAAGAATTTATAGTTCTTTATTTGAATTTATCTGCTTTTGGCTTCCAGACTTCTGATATCTTTCTCTGCTACATCTTAAGAGTCATTTTGGTGTGAGGTTTTTTTTTTTTCCAGCAAAGGTTTTTGTATGCAGTGATTAAATCATCTGTTGGTCTTGTCTATGATAAACTAAACAGATTGCACTTTTCAGGTCTTTTGCTGCAACATATTTTCTCTGAATTTCATAACACTTTTATGGCTGAGCTCTGTCTCTTCTACTCTTTCAGTATCTGCTTATGACATCAAGTGTCAGAATGGGAATGTTCTTCTTACCTCAATTTTGTACTGGTGTCGTACGTCAAGTTGCATGTTCCTTACTTCCCCTTAGATTGCTAGAGTCGTGGTAACATCTGCTGTTCAGTGCATAAGGCCCACATTGCTTGTCACCTAACTGTTCTTTTATTGGCTTGATTAAAATGAATTAATTTGAATGGTTCTGTGTTAAAAAGCAATCCAGTTGTTCTATAGGGGTGCACTAGCTTCCTGGCTAATTACCATCTACTAATCTTTGGCCTGAATGCAGAGTTCATGGTAACTTTACGTTTACTTACAAATACGATTTTAAAATTTGAATACTGGGGCAATTACTGATGTATTCCAGTAGAAGTTTATCTTTGTGGCAATTCCTCATTCACAGAAATGTCAGTCATTTTTTTAATATAATTCTGTACTTATAATACAAACTTGCTGACTGGTTAAGTTAAAGATTTACTTTCCACTGGGTGCTACACAAACCGTTGAAGTGCACTTTTTCCCACATATATACATATATAAATACTTTTAGTTTATTAAAATAAAGCTGCTACTTTAGGAGCTTTTCTACAGCAGAATTAATCCTTCGGCTCCTTTTTTAGCTTTTACTTGGAGTTAATACATTTCTAAGGGCCCTAGATTTATCAGAAGGAGGTGTAGTAATGGGGACTACATGCCTTTCTTTCCCCAGATCCACTATTTTTGATTCAGAAATACCAGCTTGTGTAGTCCTTATGAAACTTTTTTTGAAGTTCAGCAAATCTAAGAACAGAGCCAGAAGGCATATCCTTTTATTTGCATAGTCCTTATTTAGTTTCTTAGGCAGACGTTTTCTAAGCAATAAATGACATCTGTTTGATTGCTCATGAATGCTGCAGATCCCATTTATGTTTATGCCCCTGAAAATACCTCCTTCACCCAAAACTAAAGATTAAATAGTGCAAGTGTGCTTGGTGAGAATTATTTTCTTTGTCCAAACTTGTTTAAGTAAAATAACTAGAAACTTGTAATTAGCAGTGCAGCTAAGGTATTGTGGTCTTATGAAACACTTCCGTCCAACATATTTCCTTGGGAGTGGACAGAGAGCATATCTGAGCAGCAAATGTTGCCTGAACGGTCCAAGACAGGACTTGCTACTGATGATAGGAAATGTGATGGCAGTTGTTCTGGCAGGAGCAGCAGCAGTGCCACTTCTCACCACCTCTCTCCTCCCTTCCCACAGTCAGCAGTAGGTGGTTCAGGTTCTCTGGGACAGCACATCGCCCTGTGGGCAAAGGCACTAAATTTGGCTGCTGTGAGGCAATAAGCTTACAGTGAGTGGGATCATGTAGTTTGCTAGCTAAGCAGAGATCACAGAAATGTATCCACAAACCTCTCCAGAGGTTCCTGTGGTTCCTGAGAAAATTTAAATCTTAATCAAACAGACATTGTGCAGAATGTTTTACCAAAAAAAAAAAAAAAAAAAAAGTGTCTGCTGTCTGTCTGTATCTGGGTTGTTTTGCAATGTACACTGATGGTTGATTTGAAATTTTGTGGTTTTTTAGTGAATGGAAAGTTGAAATAAATACTCATAATAGTAAATTGTAACATTAATTTGCATGTACTCAGTATTTGTTTTACCAATAAATATCTTTGCTTCAAGTCTTAATACTTCAATGATCAAAATACACAGTCTTTGTTCTTAAAGGTGTTTTTGGGTGGGTCTCTAATGCTGAAAGAGT